TTGTTGATTTATTTTCTTAGTATTGCTATCTTTCTTACTAACCCAGTACTCCACAGGGATGATGCAATGTATTTAGCTAGTTATTTCATTCCTCTCGAGTTTTCTGATGTCGGTAAATTCAATTTGTTAACAAGCAATGGCATTGCGAAGGACATCCCTGCTGAACGAGATAAAAAGACTGAAGGAAACAAGGATCTAATGTTCGCACCGATATCGCGGATGGAATTTACAGAACGTTTCCTCCTACATCACGCTTCAAATAGGTGCTCGTAATAAACTAGTTCAGTTTTGTCCAGAAATATCGCACTTTTTTCCTTTGAAAAGCATACTCGAACAAGAAAACATCCGCTAAAAATTGACTCGAAAAAGGTCAGAGCGAAAATATTCTCGTTTGTACAACATGGCGTCAATTTGAGCATAATCGAACGTAATAGCTCTGATTTCAGCAATTCCAAGTTCATCGCACAGATTATTAGTAAAGAAAGACAAACGTAGTTCTCCACTGGTTATTTGACTCGTTTGTGGAAAAATATCCACAATACATTTAAACTACAACCTTACAAGGACATTACATACGACGCATCTACAATATATAACACCATAATACAGAATCGCACAAAATAATCATCACCCGGACCTAAAAGGTCTTCTTGGCGCAACTTCACCCAGCGGTAAATCGGAATTTATAAGTTTGGATTAACGTAGATTTAGTGCAAAGTATGCTTACGAGCAAAAATCAATGTAATCAACAGCAAGGAGAAAAGTGTAAACATAATTATACCAGCCGGACTGCATCTTATAACTGCCTCATTATAACCGTTGCAGGACTGTACCTTGAAACATGTCTCCAAATATATGCTGCTGACAATAAACATTATATTGAGTACTTGCTTTTATTTCTACAAATGTAATAAACTTTTGATATAATTTTTTCCAGAATTAATCACTTATTTTGCGTAGCTGAGACATCTTTCGCTTTTGTAGGTTTCTTTGAGTCCTAAAAAATCATACTATCTCCAGATGCTGGATCACTTCTCTCAGAGCTGTAGCTCCAACATGTTTGTTGAGCGGACGATAAATCACTTTGTAGCGATTTCGAATACCAAAATTGCGCTCTTATTTTATTCAGAAGGGTGCCGAACTGTATAACATTTTGTTGATAAATTGGGCATCATTCGTTTGCTTAGTATTGCCAGATATCTAACTCTTTCTTCTCTTTCGAAAAAACCCCACCAACAAGAAGTCATCCGCTAAAAATTGACGCGAAAAGAGTCAAAGA